GCGCCCGCCCCCCCCCGGCCGGCCCCCCGGCTGCCAACACCAGCGGCATCGTCCGTGGGTGGTCACTGACCGCCAGGTGCTGCTCGCCACCCCCCTGCCGCTGACACCGCCAACTCTGCTGTGACTGCCTGCGGAAGCTCCCTGCTCACCACCGCCATGCCACTGCCGCCGCTGCCTGTGGGCAGTTGCTATGTCCCCCCAGCCTCTGGTGACATGCATCATTCATGGCTCTGTCCATGGTGATGGGGTTTTCCTCCAGGAAAATGTTATGTTGGCTTCTAAGAGGGGACATGTAATTAGTCCACATGGAAAGACGTGATGATGGGCACCAATACATGAGCAGTGAGGCTGCTCTGACATGCTGCAATTACAGTGCATTGAAGCATGGTAATTACCACACTCCAGCAGACTCCAGTGTCTCATATATCAACATCTGTTTAAAAATGGTGGCAGGGGTATTTTAACTAGAGTTCATTCAATGAGTTTTAGTTAAAGTGTCCCCACCCCACTCCAGGAGCATGTGTATAAACGCCCAATGTTATTAGTTATGCTATTGATCCATCTCAGGCCATGTTGGAGCTATTCATTTTTTTCTTGAGTTCCCATATGCACTCATAAGCCTAAAAAGCAGGCAACCAACTAGAGTTGGTCAGGAAACAATTATTTTTCCTCACAAAAGTTGACAAAAACAATCTTTTTCATTTATGGGGAAAAAAAAAGTAAAATGCCTAAATGAAAAGAAATCTGATTTTGCTGACTATCGTGATTTGTAATTCCATGCTTGCTGTGCCCCCTTCCTCCCCCCCACCCTCACTTCCTCCATATGTCTCCTCGTCATGTCTTGATTCAACAATTACTGTGGCATGACATTACGAGCAGATCTGCTCCTCATCATTCTCCTCCTTCATTTTCACTAGGGGTGTGTTTTTAATATGAAAAAGGTGTGCTCTTAACTGGAGTGAACATCCTAATGGCAATACAGAGTTTTCAAAGAGGTTGCAAGTCAAGATAAACACTAACTCTTGTCAAACTCCAAACTGTTCTCCTTGCCTGCTTGCTCTCCAATATTGTTTCTATTGTATTTTTCCTACACGCCTGTCTGTTCTTCCAATACAGCTGCAGAGCCACACTATCAGTCATGTTTTCAAGCAAGAGGGAGCAGAGGCATTCAGTAGGTGTTTTCTAGAAGACAGAAGTTGACTGTCAACCTACCCTGCCTCCCACTAGCTAGAAACAGATCTCCCATGCAGGTAAAATGCCCTGAATTTGCATGCTGACTACAAGTTGAAAGCGGTCCATTTTCACTGTGTTTTCCTTTGCTGAAATCTTCTTCCAGCAAACTGGATGACAATTTTTGATATTCTTTACAGTGTTTTTTTTTTTAAAGTTTGGTGCCAGTCAAACACTGATTTGGGTATTCCCCATCAGAAAATCTAACAGAAATGGCCATTTTCTATTCCAAAGCAAGCAGGACTGCAGAGCCATCTTTTGTTTGGCATGTGGGTATGCACCTTTATTTAGAAATTGGCTCATTCCTATTGGCCTCTTTCAGTCAAACGTTCTAAACCATGCTGGTGATGTTCCTCTAAGTGGTTCTCTGAGTTTTGTAAGGAATCATAAGTACTCCAGTATCCAGCAGGTTTGTTTTGCACTGTTGTACAAATCTCTTAGTCTCGTGAAATCCTACTTCGGTATCCACAGTAGTCATTTTTGAGGAGAAGCTTTTTTTACAGTGGCTGAATTACACTATCTACATGCTTGTTTAGCACTGGAAATAAGCTGAAGTCATCAGACATTCAAACATAATGTGCCCTAACTTTGTATGGTGAGGAGGGGTTGGAGAGGGGACTGAAGGAACAGGCTGCCCGCTAGTGGCTGACACTGAGCAGAAAAGACCTACTATGGGTGACAGCTAGGAAAGCTCTCTCAAGGCTCAAGAAATAAAGAACAGTAATTTTGATGCAGACAATTTGACTAGGGTTTTAGTCCTGGTTCCCTAAGAGTGTGTCCAAATGAGAGAGAGAGAGAGATAATTATATCTGGTGCTGACAACACATAGTCTTGCACTTGAAGTGTAGACCTCAAAACTGTATCATTATATCTGCAAATGATAATCTGTTTCAGTTTGAAGCTGGGTTCCTACTCTGAAAGGGGAACCTCTGCTGAGATGCACACCATTATTCACCCTGAACTCTGGAGTAAACTATGTTCTTTTATTCTATGCCAATGTTATCTTGGGATAGTACATTGAATTAGAATACAAGGAAGAATTCCTTGAATTTCCCTTGATAAAATGTATATTTCATATTTGATTCTAGACTAAGTAGGAAACAATATAGGTTAAGAAAAAAAAGAAAAGGAAAAGCTGGCTTGTTACCCAAACTCTGGAATTAATTACTGTCAAATATTTGTTTGGGGAGAAAGATAGAAAAGTGAGTGTCTTTCCAGGAACCAAGAGAGACTAATCTCCTCTTTTATTGACTGTTCTGTGTATACCAGAAAAAGCCAAGGGAAGAGTGCTCCCTAAAGCAACCCCCTCAGTAAGATTAGAGGTGAAAACTGGTTGGATTTCTTTTCTTGGCCCTTGAGACAATCACTGACATGCAGATGATAAATTTTGTCTAATACTCATTCAACACTAGGGCAGTGAAAATCATGTTTTCATCTATTGACTTTGGGGGAGCCCTGCTATCACTTTGGCTGGTAAGCTGCTTGGGATAGGGGTCACCCTGGTGTTATACCCATCTGGCCTCTAACAAATGGGACCTTTCACATTGTCTGGGTCTGCAGAAGACTGTTACAATGTAAACATTTAATAGTAGGAATGATCAACATTGTTGGAGGGAAAATTAAGGTGTGCTCTGGTGAGAAGAAATTGCTATACCAACATATCAAGCATGTTCCTTTTTGTCTAAGCATGACATTTTGAGTATGGCTTTATAGAAACTGGGAAGGTGGCCAGGACCAGTGGAAAGGGCACTGGACTTTGGGCCTGGTAGCTTGAGTTCTCTTAATTCTGTCACTGAGCAGTTGGGTGACTCTGACCTAGTTGCATCATTTCCCAGTGCCTCGGTTTCTTGAAATATAAAATGAGGGGAATTATGCCTGCTTTCTTCTGGGATCTCTAAAGGATTAATACAATGCAAGAGGGGATATGTATTATCCCAGGCTATTCTACTCCTCCTTACCTGAGAACATGTAGCTGTCTTTTAAGGGCCAGATTGTCTGAGAGACTTTTTGGTATGGGTCTTGAAGTTCCTAATCAGTCATTAGACTTTTAATCAGTGCCACCTCTCAGTGCATGATCAAACCCTCGCTAATTCATTTTCAGGATCCACCACTTTTCCAGCCATTAAGTATATGTTATACTCAGAAGCACATGCTTCTAAATTTTCAGTCATGGACTTAAATATACCATCAGATACAGGATGGTAGAAATTCAGGCATCTGCATTTTTATACCCTAATCTTTCTCATCATAAATAAGAGCAAAGTGCATGTTATCTAATGAATTTTATTTGTTAATCACTTGCATGTCTGGAATATTTCTCCCTCTTGGGTTATATGTATATAAATGAAAATATTGTTAGTGATTTCACAAAATGGTAATTCAGAATAATGGAGACTTAATCCTCTTTTCATTAGCAAACCACTTCAGGACATACACTGTAGCAAATTACGCTGCATTTTAAGTCTCTCTCAAGTGCTGTGCACTAGAAAAAACATTAAACTATTTTTGCATTGATAGAAGTAATTGTGTAGCTAATTTGGATAAGCAGCATGCATTAGGCACAGCAAAGGAATCTCTTCTTTATGCTCCCTATCCATTCCACAGCTGCCAAATAGGATTGTTGGGTTTTTTTTCCTTTTCAAGAAAATCTGCCAGTCTGTCTGGCATTTGTTCCAGAGAGGGAGAATTGTCTAGTGGCTTGAACAGGGCGGTGTCAGTTAGGATCTCTTTCTTCTGCTCTCAACTCTTTGTATATTTCTCAGTTAGTGACCTGGGCCAGAATTTCCAAAAGTGACCACTAAACTCAAGCACC